TTTATTCAGGTACAAGCTCTCCCTCCGCTGGGAGGACAGATCTGCACGTTCCTCCCCCCACCCCTCCCAATAGCTAGTCATCCAAAACAGTCCAGTGGAGCCTGAGCGGTGGGTGTTGCCTTCTGACACACTTCCGATGATGTCAGGGGGTGTGGCATATGCAAATGAGTTATGCTAATGCTAATGAGCTCCGGCACCTCTTTTTCTATTAAATGACCCCTGGATAGAAGTAAAGCTAGACGTCTGTATATCCCTTCATCTTTGATCATAAACAAAGCACAATTTCGAGCAAAAAGTTCATCTCGGGCAAAATTCAGTCAAATGGAATTTGGAATTAGGAATATACAGGCGTCTTGCTTTACTTCTCTCTCTGCAAATAAGACAAGAAGTGGAAAGAAATTATACAATTGTGTTCAGAAGAAGGAACTATGAAACGACACGGGACACTCCGGAGCACGTCGTTAACATCTTTTGCGGCGCCAGCGTTATTTTCTTTGTAGCTTTGCACTATAAAAAATATTGCACATATTATTGTATTTTTCCATTACCTGAAAAAGCATATTTTTGATTATTGTGGTACGGTATTATTTATCTTAGTGTCCTTATGACAGTGGTTTTTTCTGTTAACTGCCACAGGAAGTGGTGGCGGCTACAAGCATGGATGGCTTCAAAAGGGAATTAGATAAGCATATGGAGCAGAGGTCCATCAGTGGTTATTAGCCACAAGGTATAGATAGGGGCTCTGGGGCAAGTGATGCTTTGTCTTCTTGGTGCTTCGGGGGGGGGGGCCCACAGTGGGAGGGCTTCTAATGTCCTGGCCCCCACTGGTGGACCTCCTGATGGCACCTGGTATTTTTGGCCACTGTGTGACAGAGTGTTGGACTGGATGGGCCCTTGGCCCGATCCAGCATTGGCGTCTCTTATGTTCTTATGTAATAGCTTCAGACCAACACGGCTGACCCCCTGGATCCCATCCAAGTAGTAACTGTGTTGTTCGTAGTCCGCCTGTCTCACAGAGACTCGAGGAAGAGTACAGAGCGCAACTCAAATAAAATCAACAGGATGGGGGCGTCCACGAAACAGTGCAATAGGGTCCGGATGGCTGAAAAATCTGAAAAGAAGCAGACATCAGAAGCCGGGCTAAATCAGATCCTGAGACAAAGCAATAAGCATGTAAGGCAGAGGGAGACTGCCCGTGAGGTTGTATTTTGTCGGAGGGGCTGTGGCTCAGCGGAAGGGCCGCTGCTTGGCACACGGAAAGTCCCAGGTTCAATCCTCTGCATCTCCGCTTTAAAGGACCAGGCAGCGGGTGACGTGGAAGACCTCTGTCTGAGACCCCAGAGAGTTGCTGCCCGCCTGAGTAGACGATACTGCCCTTGATGGACCCATGGTTGGATTTAGTATAAGGCAGCTTCCTGTATGTCATTATAGGTTCTTATCTCCCCCCCACACATGACCCCACAGAGAGCCAGTTTGGTGTAGTGGTTACGTGCGCGGACTCTAATCTGAGAGAGCCAGGTTTGATTCCCCACTCCTCCACTTCCACCTGCTGGATGACCTTGGGCAAGCCGTAGTTCTGACAAGAGCTGTTCTTGAAAAAGAGCAGTTTCTGTCAGAGGTCTCTCAGCCCCACCTACCTCACAGGGTGTCTGTTGTGGGGAGGGGAAGGGGAAGGAGTTTGTAAGCCGCTCTGAGACATCTCTGGGTAGTGAAGGGCAGGATAGAAATCCAATCTCTCTCTCTCTCACTTTGTACAACTCCGGATTCTTGCTTTACCACCAGGCTGGGGAACCTCTTCTAAGGATCTGAAGAGCTG